GGGGGGGGGGGGGGCAAAAGATTTGGACTCTTTCCCCCTTTCCGAGGGTTGTGAACTGGAGAGCTGCAAGGTGGTGCTTTTGGGGGGATGTCGTGGTTAGCTCTAGGTCTCTCAGGTTTTAGCAAAGAAGGAAGCACTACCTCTTCCCGCCCTTCATTGCACCTTGTTCCCAAGCCGAAAAAGCACCCGTGCCTGGCTGGCCATTGGATGAGTCTAAATAAATTTGGTCAAATATTGGCCCTGGCAATCAATGGATACTGTCAATCAGTGGAGAAATATTTTCGAAGTATTATCTTTTTATTAAAAGAATAAAAGCGATACTGACTTTTCTCAATTCTCTGTAATTCGGAGTAGGGTCTCTGGTGTCCTTTGGGACAAAGGCTTTGGAATATCGTGGGTGCTTTCACAAAATGGCTGCCTGCCCCCCAAACTAGGGCCAGGCTAATAAATGATGCTTCCGTCCATGGCAAACTATGGCAAACATTATCTTCTATTTTCCCTGGGCATGACATACCACTTCAAAACGAAGACCTGGGAACCAGCTGAAATATTTATTTTCTGGGCGAGGAAGGCGTGGGGAAAAAAGTGAAAGTTGCTCTCCCTTGACTCTCTCTGGTGTAAATGGAGGGAAGGGGAAACGCAGTCCGGCTTTCGAGATTCTGTTCTTGTTACCTCTGTCCATATAGTAGAGTTCTTGGGGCATCTTTCCCTGATCCGGCCAACCTTGGAGAGCTGACTTTCACCTCGAAAGCCTGGCCGCGTTTTCCTCTTCCCTCCCTCTTAGACCCAAGAAAGCCGAGGCACAGCAGTTTTAAGTTTCGTTCTCACGCTGTCTTCTTCCCCAGACTGAGCGCGTGCTTTGCTGACGTTCCCTGGGTGCTTTCTCCAGGGTTGTCTCTGCGCTCCTCTACACGTACCTGGTGAGAGGTGTTTTTGGATTTTTCTCTCTTGTGGCCAATGTGCCTGTTTTCCATCCCCTGGCTGACAGCATGGCTTCCAGCAAAGGCTGTACTTCCTGGAATGACCAAGCAGAGCCATAATCGACTTCTCCCCAGGAGGATGTGGGGTGCCATTCTTTTACATTCTTACTGTCCCCTGTGGATTAGCACTGATCTGCTTCGATTTGGGCAATAGATAAAGAGAACTAGACCTTTCGACTCTCTTCTGCTTGCTGGTGGTGGTCCCAAATTTCAGAAAAAAGTAGATTGCCCCCATCCTATGGAACTGGCATTTTGTGCCCAGGCTCCCCCCACCCTCGCTGATCACGGAGGGAGCAAAGAAGGTGCGTTCTGGATTAAGAGTTGGGTAGGACATGAGATGATTGGATGTTAGAACCATCAATCGACACATGGCAACGCAGAGCACCGCCTCTCGGTTCATGTTCCAGAGGGAGGGGGAGTGAGTGGAGAGGGCTATGGGAGGGGACGTTGGAAGGAGGGTCAGAGGGGAGCTGAGTCCAAGCCCTAAAACTTCCATCTGTAGGAGAGAAAGGTTTATGAACAGATCTAGATCTATCGATCTAGGGCCAGACTGACATCCTTGAGACCTCTATGCTATAGAGGTCAACCTGCTTTGTCAGCTAGAATAATACAGTAAGGAAAATAGCCTACACTGTCATCTTAAGGGAGTTTGTTGACAAGCCATTTTAAGTTATTCAATCACAGTTAATTCACTTCCTTGTTTAAACATTAACAAAGTGACTGCAATGTCCTCCCTCCC